GTGTGACAGAGGGGTGTTCTCTCTGTGTGACAGAGGGGTGTTTCTCTCTGTGTCAGAGGGTGTTCTCTCTGTGTCAGAGGGTGTTCTCTCTGTGACAGAGGGGTGTTCTCTCTGTGTCAGAGGGGTGTTTCTGTTCAGAGGGGTGTTTCTCTGTGACAGAGGGGTGTTCTCTCTGTGTCAGAGGGGTGTTCTCTCTGTGTCAGAGGGGTGTTCTCTCTCTGTGACAGAGGGGTGTTCTCTCTGTGACAGAGGGTGTTCTCTCTGTGTCAGAGGGGTGTTCTCTCTGTGACAGAGGGGTGTTCTCTGTGTCAGAGGGGTGTTCTCTCTGACAGAGGGTGTTCTCTCTGTGTCAGAGGGGTGTTCTCTCTGTGTGACAGAGGGGTGTTCTCTCTGTGTCAGAGGGGTGTTCTCTCTGTGACAGAGGGGTGTTCTCTCTGTGTCAGAGGGGTGTTCTCTCTCTGTGTCAGAGGGTGTTCTCTGTGTGTCAGAGGGGTGTTCTCTCTGTGTCAGAGGGGTGTTCTCTGTGTGACAGAGGGGTGTTTCTCTGTGTGACAGAGGGTGTTCTCTCTGTGTCAGAGGGGTGTTCTCTCTGTGTCAGAGGGGTGTTCTCTCTGTGACAGAGGGGTGTTCTCTCTGTGTCAGAGGGTGTTCTCTCTGTGACAGAGGGGTGTTCTCTCTGTGTCAGGGGTGTTCTCTCTGTGTCAGAGGGGTGTTCTCTCTGTGTCAGAGGGGTGTTCTCTCTGTGTGTCAGAGGGGTGTTTCTGTGTGTCAGAGGGGTGTCTCTCTGTGTCAGAGGGTGTTCTCTCTGTGTCAGAGGGGTGTTCTCTCTGTGACAGAGGGGTGTTCTCTCTGTGTGACAGAGGGGTGTTCTCTCTGTGACAGAGGGGTGTTCTCTGTGTGTCAGAGGGGTGTTCTCTCTGTGACAGAGGGGTGTTCTCTCTGTGTGTCAGAGGGGTGTTCTCTCTGTGTCAGAGGGGTGTTCTTCTCTGTGACAGAGGGGTGTTCTCTCTGTGTCAGAGGGTGTTCTCTCTGTGTCAGAGGGGTGTTCTCTCTGTGTCAGAGGGGGTGTTCTCTCTGTGACAGAGGGGTGTTCTCTCTGTGTCAGAGGGGTGTTCTCTCTGTGTGACAGAGGGGTGTTCTCTCTGTGTGACAGAGGGGTGTTCTCTCTGTGACAGAGGGTGTTCTCTCTCTGTGTGACAGAGGGGTGTTCTCTCTGTGTCAGAGGGGTGTTCTTCTCTGTGTCAGAGGGGTGTTCTCTCTGTGTGACAGAGGGGTGTCTCTCTTGTGACAGAGGGGTGTTCTCTCTGTGTCAGAGGGGTGTTCTCTCTGTGTCAGAGGGTGTTCTCTCTGTGACAGAGGGGTGTTCTCTCTGTGACAGAGGGGTGTTCTCTCTGTGTCAGAGGGGTGTTCTCTCTGTGTCAGAGGGGTGTTCTCTCTGTGACAGAGGGGTGTTCTCTCTGTGACAGAGGGGTGTTCTCTCTGTGTGACAGAGGGGTGTTCTCTCTGTGTGACAGAGGGGTGTTCTCTCTGTGTCAGAGGGGTGTTCTCTCTGTGTCAGAGGGGTGTTCTCTCTGTGTGACAGAGGGGTGTTCTCTCTGTGTCAGAGGGGTGTTCTCTCTGTGTCAGAGGGGTGTTCTCTCTGTGTCAGAGGGGTGTTCTCTCTGTGACAGAGGGGTGTTCTCTCTGTGTGACAGAGGGGTGTTCTCTCTGTGTGTCAGAGGGGTGTTCTCTCTGTGTGTCAGAGGGGTGTTCTCTCTGTGTGACAGAGGGTGTTCTCTCTGTGTCAGAGGGGTGTTCTCTCTTGTGTCAGAGGGGTGTTCTCTCTGTGTGACAGAGGGTGTTCTCTCTGTGTCAGAGGGTGTTTCTCTCTGTGTCAGAGGGGTGTTCTCTCTGTGTCAGAGGGGTGTTCTCTCTCTGTGACAGAGGGGTGTTCTCTCTGTGTCAGAGGGGTGTTCTCTCTGTGTGACAGAGGGGTGTTCTCTCTCTGTGACAGAGGGGTGTTCTCTCTGTGTGACAGAGGGGTGTTCTCTCTGTGTGTCAGAGGGGTGTTTCTCTCTGTGTGACAGAGGGGTGTTCTCTCTGTGTGACAGAGGGTGTTCTCTCTGTGTGGACAGAGGGGTGTTCTCTCTGTGACAGAGGGGTTCTCTCTGTTGTTTCTCTCTGTGACAGAGGGGTGTTCTCTCTGTTGACAGAGGGGGTTCTCTGTGTGACAGAGGGGTGTTCTCTCTGTGACAGAGGGGTGTTCTCTCTGTGTGACAGAGGGGTGTTCTCTCTGTGTGACAGAGGGGTGTTCTCTCTGTGACAGAGGGGTGTTTCTCTGTGACAGAGGGTGTTCTCTCTGTGTGACAGAGGGTGTTCTCTGTGTCAGAGGGGTGTTCTCTCTGTGTGACAGAGGGGTGTTCTCTCTGTGTGACAGAGGGGTGTTCTCTCTGTCAGAGGGGTGTTCTCTGTGTGACAGAGGGGTGTTCTCTCTGTGACAGAGGGGTGTTCTCTCTGTGACAGAGGGGTGTTCTCTCTGTGACAGAGGGGTGTTCTCTCTGTGGACAGAGGGGTGTTCTCTCTGTGACAGAGGGTGTTCTCTCTGTGTGTCAGAGGGGTGTTCTCTCTGTGTGTCAGAGGGGTGTTCTCTCTGTGTCAGAGGGGTGTTCTCTCTGTGTGTCAGAGGGGTGTTCTCTCTGTGTCAGAGGGTGTTCTCTCTGTGTGACAGAGGGGTGTTCTCTCTGTGACAGAGGGTGTTTCTCTGTGTGACAGAGGGGTGTTCTCTCTGTGTCAGAGTGTTCTCTCTGTGACAGAGGGGTGTTCTCTCTGTGTGACAGAGGGGTGTTCTCTCTGTGTGACAGAGGGGTGTTCTCTCTGTGACAGAGGGGTGTTCTCTCTGTGTGACAGAGGGGTGTTCTCTCTGTGTCAGAGGGGTGTTCTCTCTGTGTGACAGAGGGGTGTTCTCTCTGTGTGACAGAGGGGTGTTCTCTCTGTGTCAGAGGGGTGTTCTCTCTGTGACAGAGGGGTGTTCTCTCTTGTGACAGAGGGGTGTTCTCTCTGTGTCAGAGGGGTGTTCTCTCTGTGACAGAGGGGTGTTCTCTCTGTGACAGAGGGGTGTTCTCTCTGTGTGACAGAGGGTGTTCTCTTGTGTGACAGAGGGGTGTTCTCTCTGTGTCAGAGGGTGTTCTCTCTGTGTCAGAGGGTGTGTTCTCTCTGTGTGACAGAGGGGTGTTCTCTCTGTGTGACAGAGGGGTTCTCTCTGTGACAGAGGGGTGTTCTCTCTGTGTGACAGAGGGGTGTTCTCTCTGTGACAGAGGGGTGTTCTCTCTGTGTGTCAGAGGGGTGTTTCTCTCTGTGTGACAGAGGGGTGTTCTCTCTGTGTCAGAGGGGTGTTCTCTCTGTGACAGAGGGGTGTTCTCTCTGTGTGTCAGAGGGTGTTCTCTCTGTGTCAGAGGGGTGTTCTCTCTGTGTCAGAGGGGTGTTCTCTGTGTGACAGAGGGGTCTCTCTGTGTGACAGAGGGTGTTCTCTCTGTGACAGAGGGGTGTTTCTCTGTGACAGAGGGTGTTCTCTCTGTGACAGAGGGTGTTCTCTCTGTGACAGAGGGTGTTCTCTCTGTGTCAGAGGGGTGTTCTCTCTGTGTGACAGAGGGGTGTTCTCTCTGTGTCAGAGGGGTGTTCTCTCTGTGACAGAGGGGTGTTCTCTCTGTGTCAGAGGGGTGTTCTCTCTGTGTGACAGAGGGATGTTCTGCTGATGTTCAGTCTGTTCTGTGTTTCTGTCATGTTGTTGGTTCATGTGAAACTTTTCACACATTATACGTGTGCAGGTGGTGCACACAGACACACGTTTATGTGAATGGACACATATTGTGTGTCTTAGTGTTTTGTGGTGACAGACACACATCAGAGGATCAGAGATTTCACACAGTCCCCCTCACATCTGGACTCATACACACTAGTGTGAACCAACCACTCACATACACACTAGTGTGAACGGGGCCTGAGAGTCGCTCACATACAACGCCATGGTCTCCGCCTGCAGCACCGTTGCCATGGTGATGCTCAGCTCCTGCTCCTGCCCGTCGTCCTGCACCTGTCGCCGCGCGGAGCCACACGACAAGTCAGTGTGTCCTGCAGCGCTTTATAGTTACAGCGACCCCCGTGTGTGTAGGGGGCGTGGTCAGTGTGTGTAGGGGGCGTGGTCAGTGTGTGTGTGTGTGTGTGTGTAGGGGGCGTGGTCAGTGTGTGTGTGTGTGTGTGTGTGTAGGGGCGTGGTCAGTGTGTGTATGGGGCCTGGTCAGTGTGTGTGTGTGTGTGTGTGTGTAGGGGGCGTGGTCAGTGTGTGTATGGGGCGTGGTCAGTGTGTGTGTGTGTGTGTGTGTGTGTGTGTGTGTAGGGGCGTGGTCAGTGTGTGTGTGTGTGTGTGTGTGTGTAGGGGGCGTGGTCAGTGTGTGTAGGGGGCGTGGTCAGTGTGTGTAGAGACATGAAGGCGTCAGATGAAACAGTTGAAGTTTCTTTATTAAACTCGTGGCTTTGCACACATGTGTGAAGTGTGTTCAGACTGAAACAGAAACAGAAACAAACGCCTCAAACTCTCACAGATCTGACTCGACACACAAACACAAACAAACAAACACAAACACTTTCCACACTCGTCATTTCCTGTCGTACGTTTGTGCAGTTTCACTCTGGAGGCTCAGAGTCACCTGAGCACCTGTCTGACAGGAGCAGCGCCTGTCAGGCTGAGCGTGTGTCTGACAGGAGCAGCACCTGTCATGCTGAGCGTGTGTCTGACAGGAGCAGCCCTGTCAGGCTGAGTGTCTGTCTGACAGGAGCAGCGCCTGTCAGGCTGAGCGTGTGTCTGACAGGAGCAGCACCTGTCATGCTGAGCGTGTGTCTGACAGGAGCAGCCCCTGTCAGGCTGAGCGTGTGTCTGACAGGAGCAGCGCCTGTCAAGTTGAGCGTGTGTCTGACAGGAGCAGCGCCTGTCAGGCTGAGTGTCTGTCTGACAGGAGCAGCGCCTGTCAGGCTGAGCGTGTGTCTGACAGGAGCAGCGCCTGGCAGCTGCGGCGCACCCTGCGGAGGGAGAGTCCGTAGACGAGCGGGTCGAAGAGCGGGGGACACGTGAGGAAGAACAGGGACAGAAAGACTCGGACGGACTTGGGGACGTCGCTCACGTCGAAGCGCGTCATGAGCAGCTCGCAGAAACACGCCAGCGACAGGTTCAACAGGGACGCCAGGTGCGGCGCGCAGGTGCCCAGGGCCTTGCGGCGGGCGCTGCTGCTGCTCACGCAAACCCTGATGATGCGCACGTACGAGTAGAGGATGAGCGCGGGCACCGACAGGAGCATGAGGCAGGTGTAGAGGAGCCCGTAGACGTTGTTCAGGGTGGTGTCTCCGCACGCCAGCTTCACCACCGAGTAATTATCACAGTAAACTTTAGAGACGTGAGTCCCGCACAGCCTCAAGGGGGCGCTCAGAGACACCATGAAGCCCACCTCCAGCAGGGGGAGGAGCCACACGAGGAGGAGGAGCCGGCGCGTCCGCCGAGGCGACATGCGCGCGTGGTACTGCAGGGGGCGGCAGATCGCCACGTAGCGGTCGTACGACATGGCGGCCAGAGTCAGGATCTGAACGTTCCCGTAGAAGAAGAGGAAGAAGACCTGAGCGAAGCAGGCGGCGTGCGAGACCACGTGCTCGCGCCGCAGCAGGTGGTGCAGCAGGAAGGGGAAGATGGCGCCGCTCCCGCAGAGCTGGTTGACGAGGAGGCTGGCGAGGAGCACGTACATGGGCTGATGAAGAGTCCGGTCCAGGACGATCGCCGCGATGACCAGAAGGTTTGAGCCCAGGAGCAGCAGGTAGAACAGCAGGAGCAGCAGGAACCACAGGGACCTGAGGGGCCCCGGGTCCCAGAACCCCGTCAGGGTCAGAGACGACCACGACCACGACGACGCGTTCACCGACGACACGTTCGCCGACGACACGTTCACCGACGACACGTTCACCGACGACACGTTCACCGACGACATCTTAGAGCGAGAGAGTTTAGGAGCACGAGACGAACACATCACCGACTGTCACCACATCATCACACTGCAGCCCACACCGACTTTAGACCGACTTTAGACCGGGTTTAGACCGGGTTTAGACCGGGTTTAGACCTTTAGACCGGGTTTAGACCGACTTTAGACCGGGTTTAGACCGGGTTTAGACCGGGTTTAGACCGGGTTTAGACCAGGTTTAGACTTCCCTCAGTCCTGGTTCAGACCTGGTTTATTTATTTTGTTTTTATTCAGTATTTCAGGAGGAGTCAGTTAAAAACATTGTTGTTTGCAGTGACGACTCGTCCCAGAGGCACCAGCAGAACATCCACATGAGCAGAACATCCACATGAGCAGAACATCCACATGAGCAGAACATCCACATGAGCAGAACATCCACATGAGCAGAACATCCACATGAGCAGAACATCCACATGAGCAGAACATCCACATGAGCAGAACATCCACATGAGCAGAACATGGAACAGAAACATGAGGCAGTGAAACATTTGCAGATTAAACATATAAAATTGTTCAAGTGCAGTGATTCTGTCAAACACTTTTGAAAGAGTCACAGACGTAAAAACAAACTCAGATTTAAAGTTTGTTTCAGTTTCAGAAACGAGGAGCAAATAAAACTTCAGAACCACCAGAGTCAAAGATCTGCTCAAGTGACTGGAGCAGTGGAGGGACAGTTTAGACCTGGTTTAGTCCTGGTTTAGTCCTGGTTTAGTTCTGGTTTAGTCCTGGTTTAGTTCTGGTTTAGTCCTGGTTTAGTTCTGGTTTAGTTCTGGTTTAGTCCTGGTTTAGTCTGGTTTAGTCCTTTAGTTCTGGTTTAGTCCTGGTTAGTTCTGGTTTAGTCTGGTTAGTTCTGGTTTAGTCCTGGTTTAGTCCTGGTTTAGTTCTGGTTTGATTCTGACATTGACACATTTTGAAAACACAAACTCCGGACGAGTCCTAAAGTCGAGCATTTTTAAAACTCTCGTCTCCGTTCAGGCTCATTTCAACACACGAGCCACAAACGCAGGAGCCACAAACACGAGCCACAAACCAAACGCACAAATCTGTCCAAACGTGAAGGAGCCCAAATATTAGAAACTAAATTTAAATCGATCAAACTGTGCAGCTGCTCCAGACTCTGAGACACACACACGTTCACACACACACGTTCACACACACACGTTCACACACACACGTTCACACACACACACGTTCACACACACACGTTCACACACACACACACACACACGTTCACACACACACGTTCACACACACACACACACGTTCACACACACACGTTCACACACACACACACACACACACACACACGTTCACACTTTTCTCGGGCAGGTAAACATGAAGCTCAAACTCTGACAAAACAAAACAAAACGTGAAACTTTTAACACAAATGAAACGACAGAAATGAGGCGACGTGTGAGAAGAGCCACGAGCTGAAGGAAGACGTGAACCTGAACCTGAGACCTCAGACCTCAGACCTCAGACCTCAGACCCTCAGACCTCAGACCCTCAGACCTCAGACCTCAGACCTCAGACCCTCAGACCTCAGACCTCAGACCTCAGACCTCAGACCCTCAGACCTCAGACCTCAGACCTCAGACCTCAGACCTCAGACCCTCAGACCTCAGACCTCAGACCTCAGACCCTCAGACCTCAGACCTCAGACCTCAGACCTCAGACCCTCAGACCCTCAGACCTCAGACCCTCAGACCTCAGACCTCAGACCTCAGACCTCAGACCTCAGACCTCAGACCTCAGACCTCAGACCTCAGACCTCAGACCTCAGACCTCAGACCTCAGACCTCAGACCCTCAGACCTCAGACCCTCAGACCTCAGACCTCAGACCTCAGACCTCAGACCTCAGACCCTCAGACCCTCAGACCTCAGACCTCAGACCTCAGACCTCAGACCTCAGACCTCAGACTGAGGAGCTGCTCTGGACTCGACTCCCTAAAAAATGTTTCATTTGGGGGCGGGACTTAAAGTTGTGTTGGAAACATGACAAAGCACTTTTCTACAGAGTCTCTGCTCAGACCTGGTTTAGTCCTGGTTTAGTCCTGGTTTAGACCTGGTTTAGTCCTGGTTTAGTCCTGGTTTTAGGCCTGGTTTAGTCCTGGTTTAGTCCTGGTTTAGTCCTGGTTTAGGCCTGGTTTAGTCCTAGTCCTGGTTTAGTCCTGGTTAGTCCTGGTTTAGGCCTGGTTTAGTCCTGGTTTAGTCCTGGTTTAGTCCTGGTTTAATCCTGGTTTAGACCTGGTTTAGTCCTGGTTCAGTCCTGGTTTAGTCCTGGTTTAGTCCTGGTTTAGTCCTGGTTTAGTCCTGGTTAGTCCTGGTTTAGACCTGGTTTAAGTCCTGGTTTAGACCTGGTTCAGTCCTGGTTTAGTCCTGGTTTAGTCCTGGTTTAGTCCTGGTTCAGTCCTGGGTCAGTCCTGGTTTAGTCCTGGTTTAGTCCTGGTTCAGTCCTGGTTTAGTCCTGGTTTAGTCCCGGTCCTGACCTCTGACCTCTGAGTGTGCGTGGTTCGTTAGTGTGAATGTGCTCTGGCCAGTCTTGTGCTGTGATTGGCTGCTCTGGCTGGTGCTGTGCTGTGATTGGTCGCTGTGCTCGGTGCTGCACTCTGATTGGCTGAGGTGGGGTATAAATGTTGTGGTGGGATTCTGGATTTTCACAGTTTGACTCTGTCACTGAAAACCTCTAAAAACACTCTGGTCCTGTCCTGGTCTGGTCCTGGTCTGGTCCTGGTCTAGTCCTCTTCTAGACCTGGTTTAGTCCTGATTTAGTCCTGGTTTAGTCCTGGTTTAGTTCCGGTTTAGTCCTGATGTTTGCTCTGTTTTACGTCTGTTTTTGAAATGACTGAATGATTTTTGTTTGAAAGAACTGACTCCAACCTCAAATCTGATCTCACTGCACCTGTCACCGCACCTGTCACCTGCACCTGTCACCTGTCACTGCACCTGTCACTGCACCTGTCACTGCACCTGTCTGTTGAGTATCACATTTTGCTCGTGAGTTTCTGCACAGACTCGTGTGATTTTCCTCGGTGGGCTGGAGTTCAGACCCGGTTTAGTCCTGGTTTAGATCTGGGTTTGTTTAGTCCTAGATAAGACCGAGACCCAGCTCGAGTTTTGACCTGGTTTAGTCCTGGTTTCTGACATTTTCTGTCACATTTCTGGTTTGTTCTGGTTCAGTCCTGGTTCAGTCCTGGTCTAGTCCTGGTCTAGTCCTGGTTTAGTCCTGTTTCAGTCTGGGTCTCATCCTGGTCTAGTCCTAGTTTGATCCTGGTATAGTCCTGGTTTAGTCCTGTTTCAGTCGTGGTCTAGTCCTGGTTTTAGTCCTGGTTTGATCCTTGTTGTTTTCAGTTTTTCACTCTGCACGTTTCTCCGATGTGGCTGAGATTTTAAAACTTTTATCAGGTTTTTGTTTTGTTTTCAGATTTTTGATCGACTCACAAAACCAAAAGCCTGAGTCCCTCTCGTCTAGAGGTCGTTTATTTTCAGAGAACTTGTCCAGTAAAACCATCTCGCTGCATGAACACATCATTTCATGAGTTTAAAGTCATTTTCTGACAGATTTAAGTGTTTAGATTTGACATTTTGGTCAAACTTTTTTGCAGTGAACATTTAAATCTGTGATTCTATGTTTTATATTTAAACAAACTTAAGGATCTTTGTGTTTCTGCTTCAGTCTGACATCACCCTCACAAACCCCCGAGCCGATTTAAACCAGAAGAAGAAACCAAAAGAAACGATTCTAACTCTACAAATGGTTCAAAACACTAAATGAAACACAAGTGCAGCTGCTTCGAGTTTAAACCTTCACAGCTTCAGACAGAAAAATCACCAAGAATCATTTCGTCGTTGGTCAAATAAACGTGCAGAGGATCAGTATTTGTATTGTGGATGGAGTGATTATCGTGTGTGTGTCTGTGTCTCCGTCATGAACTCGTCGTCTTCGTTCTTCGTCCTGCGCGCCTACGTGTGGCTCGGCCCGTGGAGGTACCCGTGCTTCGTCGTCGCTCTGCTCGTCTTCGCGGCCGCGGTGGCGGTGAACTCGCTCCTCGTGGCGCTGATCGGCCTGAAGCGCTCGCTGCACGCGCCCATGCACCTGCTGCTCCTCAGTCTGTTCGCCAACGAGCTCCACGGCAGCGCGGGCCTCTTCCCCGTCCTGCTCCTCCAGCTGCTCGCCGACCGCCACGCCGTCCCCGCGTCCTGCTGCTTCCTCCAGATCTTCAGCCTCTACACCTACGTCAACGTGGAGTACTGCAACCTGTGTCTGATGGCGTACGACCGCTACGTGGCCATCTGCTTCCCGCTGCAGTACGGCGCCTACATGAGCGGCTGCAGGGTTCTGGCTCTGGTTCTGCTCGTGTGGCTCTACTGCCTCGTGCGCGTTTCTCTCACCGTGTCCCTGAGCCTCAGTCTGACCTTCTGCGGCTCGTCTCTGGACTCCCTCTACTGCCACAACTACCTGGTGGCCAAACTGGCGTGCGGCGGCTCCGACCTGGTGGACGTGTACGGCCTGTGCGCCACCGTGGTGTCCGTGGCGCTGCCCCTCGCCGTCCTCATCTTCTCGTACGTCCGCATCCTTCGCGTGTGCTCGGGCGGCTCGGGCGGCGGCGGCTCGGGCGGCTCGGGCGGCTCGGGCGGCTCGGGGCGGGCGCGGCGGAAGGCCCTGAGCACCTGCGTCCCTCAGCTCGTCTCTCTGCTCAGCTTCGCGTTCGGCGCCGTCTTCGTGCTCGTTCAGACTCGGCTGGACCTGAGCGCGTGGCCCTTCCCGCTGCGCGTCGTCCTCTCGCTCTACATCTTCGTCGCGCCGCCGCTCGTCAACCCGCTCATGTTCGGCCTGCGCCTGACCCACATCCGCCGCGCCTGCTGCGCGCTGCTCCGGGTCCAACGCCGCCACCACAACAAGTAAAACCAGCGCCACAAATCTTTAAGACTCACTTTGAAACCCCAGTGTTTTGGTCCTGTTCCAGTCCAGGTTTAATCCAGTGATCTTCATTTGATCTTCTGATCATTTATGTTCTTAGGTTCTTTTTTCAGACCAAGAGTTTGTTTCGGTTCACAGACGCTCGAACAGGACGAGGGTCTTGTTCGTTTCACACTCCTGGTTTAATGTCCTGAGGAAGTTCGACCGCAGGTGGCGCCGTCGTCCTGACTCCACCGAGACGAAGACACAGACAAAACCTGTTTACATCAACTGAGCCACACGACACTGAAACATCACCAGACGAAGACGAAGAGTCTGAGGAAGAGGAGCAGGAGCAGAACAAACTGTCAGGATGAAAACAAACTCTGGGTCTGAAAAAAGAAACTAGTAACACAGGATTTGTTCTGGTTCTGTCCATGTTTGTTATTCTAAATTTTGTGTCCAATAAAGACTCTGAAATAAACGTCTCACACTGATGAGCTGAAACGTCTGTTGTGTCTTGTGTGACCCGTTTCAGCAGCTTCACGATGAAATCCCTGAAACGGTTTTCCAAAGTGCAGAGCCGTGACCAAAGCAAAGTCTGATTTTTAAAACCTAAAACTCTGAGTTCAGAGCGACACGACTCGACGCTTCAGGGAGAATCTGCACCGAGTCACAAAGACCAGAGGCTCGGACTCAACTTCAGCCTTTGGCCTTTGCACTCAAACTTATTTTAGGCTCCGGACACGAAAGCAGAACAGGAAGTGACAAAGAAAGTCAAAGGTCAAATTTGAGCTGAATATTTTTCACATACAAATCTTTGTTTGTTAAAGCAGCGAGTCGTTTGGTGAGTTCTTCTGGACAAAACAGAAACTCTGAAGTGATGTTTCTGTTTCACACTCTGGAGAGTTAAACCCGTTTACCTTTGTAGAGCAGAATAGTGTGAACAGTCCACAGTGTGAACAGTCCACAGTGTGAACAGTCCACAGTGTGAACAGTGTGATGTTTGTGATGTGATGTTTGGTCACACAGAGGTGCAGAAGTTCTCACTTGTTGCTTGAGTTGTTGGAGTTTATTGAGCTGATTTCACAGGAACATCTACAAGAACATCTACAAGAACATCTACAGGAACATCTACAAGAACATCTACAGGAACATCTACAGGAACATCTACAAGAACATCTACAGAACATCTACAAGAACATCTACAGGAACATCTACAGGAACATCTACAGGAACATCTACAGGAACATCTACAGGAACATCTACAAGAACATCTACAGGAACATCTACAGGAACATCTACAGGAACATCTACAAGAACATCTACAGGAACATCTACAAGAACATCTACAAGAACATCTACAGGAACATCTACAAGAACATCTACAGGAACATCTACAGGAACATCTACAGGAACATCTACAAGAACATCTACAAGAACATCTACAAGAACATCTACAAGAACATCTACAGGAACATCTACAAGAACATCTACAGGAACATCTACAGGAACATCTACAAGAACATCTACAGGAACATCTACAAGAACATCTACAGGAACATCTACAAGAACATCTACAAGAACATCTACAAGAACATCTACAGGAACATCTACAGGAACATCTACAGGAACATCTACAAGAACATCTACAAGAAATCTACAGGAACATCTACAGAACAAGAACATCTACAAGAACATCTACAGGAACATCTACAAGAACATCTACAGGAACATCTACAGAACATCTACAGGAACATCTACAAGAACATCTACAGGAACATCTACAAGAACATCTACAGGAACATCTACAGGAACATCTACAAGAACATCTACAGGAACATCTACAGGAACATCTACAAGAACATCTACAGGAACATCTACAGGAACATCTACAGGAACATCTACAGGAACATCTACAAGAACATCTACAAGAACATCTACAGGAACATCTACAGGAACATCTACAGGAACATCTACAAGAACATCTACAGGAACATCTACAGGAACATCTACAAGAACATCTACAGGAACATCTACAGGAACATCTACAGGAACATCTGAACATCTACAGGAACATCTACAAGAACATCTACAGGAACATCTACAGGAACATCTACAAGAACATCTACAAGAACATCTACAGGAACATCTACAGGAACATCTACAGGAACATCTACAAGGAACATCTACAGGAACATCTACAAGAACATCTACAAGAACATCTACAGGAACATCTACAGGAACATCTACAAGAACATCTACAGGAACATCTACAGGAACATCTACAGGAACATCTACAGGAACATCTACAGGAACATTCATTTCAAACACTGAAGAGAAGTTCTGGACCAGTCTGAAGTCCTACAGGACCAGGAGCAGGAGTCAGGTTCTCGTTTCTCGTCTGAAGTGCCGCATGATTGGAGCTCGGATCTGCTGCATCTTGATGCCGTAGATGATGGGGTTGAGGAGCGGGGGCACGACCAGAAACTCCGCGGCGAGAGCGTTACTGAGCGTGCGCATCCCGGGAACGCCGCGGCCGTAACGCGAGAACATGGAGTCGAAGCAGATGGACGAGGCGAAGATCAGCAGCGCCACCAGGTGGGGCAAACACGTCTGCGCGAACTTCCTGCGGTCGGCGCGGGACCTGAGCGCGGCCCTCACCAGCCCCACGTACGACACCAGGATGAGCGCCGTCTGCAGCAGGTGCGACACCACCAGCAGGAAGCCGTAGATGTTGTTGACGGTGGTGTCCACGCACGACAGCTTCACCACCTCCCAGTTTGTGCAGAAGAACTTGGGCAGACGGTTTCCGCAGAGCGGCAGGCGGGAGGTGAGGACGGCCCCGACCGCGGTCTCCACCAGAGAGAAGCTCCAGGTGAGAGCGACGAGGCGAGTGACGGCGGCGCGCGTCATGAGCCCGCGGTACTGCAGCGGGCGACAGATGGCGACGTAGCGGTCGAACGCCATCACGGTGAGGCTGGTGAACTCGCAGAAGACGTAGCAGTAGATGCCGCACATCTGCAGCAGACAGTGTGTGTAGGACATGTGCCTGGAGTCGCTCAGAAGGTCCTGCAGGAGCTTGGGGTAGAAGCTGGACGCGCCGCAGATGCCGTTGATGCAGATGTTTGCTAAGAACACGTACATGGGCTGATGCAGCGTCTTCTCCCACGCGATGGTCACCACCAGGCTCAGGTTGAAGAAGACGGTGACGGCGTACGACGTGAGCGCCACGCCGAAGTAAACGCCGCGGTTTGTGAGAGAATCGTTTAAACCCGAGAGTTCAAACATGAACGTCGACGCGTTCTCCATCGTCCAGAAGAACCAAGCAAAACACGCAAATATAATAAATATAATAAATACTTAATAAATACAATAAATATAATAAATATAATAAATACAATAAATACAATAAATATAATAAATATAATAAATATAATAAATACAATAAATATAATAAATACAATAAATATAATAAATACAATAAATACAATAAATACAATAAATACAATAAATAAAACAATAAATATATAAATACAATAAAATATAAATACTTTAAATACAATAAATATAATAAATATAATAAATACAATAAATATAATAAATACAATAAATATAATAAATATAATAAATACAATAAATACAATAAATACAATAAATATAAATATAATAAATACAATAAATACAATAAATACAATAAATATAATAAATACAATAAATAAATACAATAAATATAATAAATACAATAAATATAATAAATATAATAAAATACAAATAAATACAATAAAATACAATAAATATAATAAATATAATAAATACAATAAATATAATAAATACAGTAAATACAGTAGTGTTTATATGGAGTGTAAAAGATCCAGAAGAATCAGAGACGCTGTGAGGACGTCCAGAACTTCACTCGAGTCAAAGTCAAACGTTTAGGACGAGTTCTGACATCACGTCCACGTCTGTGATTTTACACACAGACTCAGGACAGAGGAGCAGAAAGACTCTGGTTCTGGTTCTGCTGGACGTTTCTCTTCAGAAAACGACCGGATGGAAATAAAAGGCGCCGTTTAAATTGTGCAGAAATGAGTTTCACATCACAGAAGCCAAACGACACCATTTAAATGAAACACGTGACAGAAGCTGAAGCATCGGCCCAAACTCCAACACACGAGTCGCTTCACCAACAACATCAAATCAAATCAAATGTCTTTTTTCCAGACGTTAAAGGAGTTTAAACGAGTCTGTGTGTTTTATTTGATGAAGTCGTCTACACAAAAATTCATTTACATCAAATAAATCTTCATTTTACTGCAAATATTGAGATTAATAAAATTCTACAATTAACTACAAACATTTTTCTGTTATCAAGTCCCACCCCTAAAAAATACATTATAAAACAAGTTTAAACGTGTGTGTGTTTGTGTGTGTGTGTGTGTGTATTTTCAGGACAAACACAAATGTTAGAATTGATTGTTATTAAAAAAAAGTGTGTTTTTAAATCAAAATCACATTTGAGTGACGTGTGAAATCTGAAGAATCCAACACTTCTGATCGTGTTTGTAGAGACACGGGAGGTCGGGGAGGTCGGGGAGGTCGGGGAGGGCATCTGACACACACATGTGGACCAACTTTTCTAAAAACTGTAACAAAATGAAATTTAACTTGAGAAAGAAACGTTTAACATTTAATCTTTTGCAGTGAACAGAGTCTGCAGAGTCTGAGTCAAACTCCTCAGACCAACTTTTGTCTCTGTCCAAAAGTCAAATGTGTTTTGACGTGAACATTTGTGTGAGGGAGCGGCTCGCGGGAGGGCATCTGACTCACCTGAACATCTGCAGAGTCACGACAGACACTTGAGCTGAACTCGTGTCACAGGAGAAACAGAGTGAAGCTCGGACTTTTAACATCGTTGTGGATCTGAAGAGTCGAGTCGAGTTCATCTGGGCTCATGTGGAAAATAAAACGGTCAGATCAGGTTCACTCTTTCTGAACATGAGACTTTAAATTACAAATAAAAATAATGAAGTTCTGAATAAAAATGAATTCTGTTTTAAAAAGATCATGGAAACACTCAGTTCTTAATGAGAACGATTCTGAACAAAGTGTTTGTTTTCTTCTGAGTTTAAATCTGATTGAGTTTGGTTCCTGGATCATGTTTGTCGTTTCTTCTTTTTTAAAATCATGCAGGTGCTTCGGCGCATCCTCGTCGTGTCTTTTAATAAGTTCACTGGAAGAAGTAGAAATAAAGAAAAGAAAACAGAGACTCTGCTCAGATCAGAAACAGGTGGAAACAGCAGAAGCAGGAAACGACAAAACTGAAACACAACAGCAAACGTGACTCACACTCGTCAAACTCTGAGCGGAACGAAACAAAGGTGATTTATCGTTTTTTCCAGGTCATTCGGAATTTAAAAACATGTAAACGTGGCCATTCTGACGATAAATAAAAGAATAAACTTCACAAGAGTTTGAAAGATCAGCCGCAAAATCTGAAAAACAGTTTTCATTGGTGAATCTGCGTCGAGGTTTGAGTCTGAACCTGTTCACAGTTTTTCACGGGCGACTGAACGCAGTGATAATAAAAGAGAAAAAAACTAAATTCCTGAAAATTAGAAACAACATTTTTAAATCAACATAAAATCATAAAGATGTGAGGAGTAAAAATGTGTCAAAAATCAGTTTGTAAATGTGTGGAAACATCAAACTGGCCTCAGGACGAGTGGAGATCAGAAACACTCACCTGCAGCTCTTCATGAAGACACAAACACCTGCAAGCTCCGCCCCCTTCACCTGACAGCCTGCAGGACCGCCCCCGTCACTGCCCCCGTCACTGCCCCTGTCACTGCCCCTGTCACTGCCCCTGTCACTGCCCCTGTCACCATGTGTCAATCAAACTCCAGGGTTTTAGACGAGTCAAAGTGGAGTCGGTGAAGAGTCTGTTTCATCAGTTTGGAGGAGTTCTGGTTGATGAGGATCTAAACTTTGTCTCATTTAAACGACACAAAAGGCAAAATTTCCAAAGCCGTTGCTGTTCTGCATAAAGTAAAGTTCTCACTGAATAGTCCAACATTATTAACCCTCTCAGGCTCAAATTACATTTTAGTAACAGGAAAAAATCTGATATTTGGGGACAATGATCATATGAGGCAGTAATTTACAATCCTGACTTTTGTTTGAGACTTTCACATGTCGTGTGTCGGGGATGTTCCAGATTTGATCCATTGGTAAATTAACACTGAAGACTGAAAATGATTTGAACACTCACTTTCTGTGTACATCACTTTTCAGAACAATGAAAACATAAAGTTCAGTGTAACAGTTTTACAGCGGCAGAACAACATCACTTTTTCGTGTGATTCTCCAAGAAACAATTTTTATCCTTTGTAAACAACAAAAGTCCTTTACTTCTGGCAGGTGGTTTGTGTGGAGTCGTTCTTGCACAGTTTGCATCGTCCACGTTTATCAGCATGGACGGAGAAAAGGCTCCTGAGGAAAAAAAAGCTCATAAAACATGGATGTGGAGTCAGTAGATCCTTGGCATTTCGCTGTTGTAAATCTGCAACGTGTCTGGAAGACGGTTCAACTTGTAAAACTCCATAATTGTACCAGATCTGATGGACTGTGTGGAAATGTGGGGTTCAACATGTAAAACTCACCTACAACCTTTATTTATTTGACAAAAAAGGGCCTTAAGAATCATCACCAACAGACATTGTAGAACCATCCAACCCAATATTTGTTCAACTTAAAGTGTTGAAACTGCAGGATATTGTCGACTTAAGTTTCCTCAAAGTCGTGTATAAAACAAAGTGCAGAGTGTCACCTGTAAATATTCAAAAACAGTTTGAGATGAGAACAAAACACAACAATTTAAAATGAACCGACATGTTTAAAAAACCCAGATTCAGACCCGAGGTTCTGGAGCGAAGCGTCGCTGTGAGAGGAGTTCACTTATGGAAGAGTCCGGACAAAGAAATAAAAGAATCAAGAACAATGACGACATTTAAAAAACATTAAATCAAATGCAACGTGTTTGTACGAAAAAGAAAACATGAAGATTTACTGTTTGCAGTTGATCAGTGGTTGTGCCTGAACTAATCTGGAACATTTAGTGACGATCAGTGTTGATGTTTTGTCTTGAAAAAGGAAACGGGGGCAGAGAACAACAAAGATTTTTTCTTCTTTCTGCTCCTTTTCATTCATTTCTTGTGTGTTTGATGTTGTGACACTGTCGATGTCTTTTTATGTTTTATGAATGAAATAAATAATAATAATAAAAAAAAAGATGTTTTCCTTTAGTCAGACTTTTCAAAACTTAAAAACCTCACGGGCTTCAGGTGCTTCAGGTGCTTCAGGTGCTTCAGGTGCTTCAGGTGTTTCAGGTGTTTCAGGTGCTTCAGGTGCTTCAGGTGCTTCAGGTGTTTCAGGTGTTTCAGGTGCTTCAGGTGCTTCAGGTGCTTCAGGTGCTTCAGGTGCTTCAGGTGCTTCAGGTGCTTCTCACGTTCTCAGACTCCTTTGTATTTGGCCTGTAGCTCTTACGTTAACCACAGATGTAATCATGATTTGTAGTGGAAACATTGCACCAAAGCTCACGGTGGTGATCAGGACATTGGGGATCGGGACGGGGTTGATCAGGAAGGGGTTGATCGGGACGGGGTTGATCGGGAAGGGGTTGATCGGGAGGGTTGATCAGGAAAGGGTTGATCGGGAAGGGGTTGATCGGGACGGGGTTGATCAGGAAGGGGTTGATCGGGACAGGGTTGATCAGGACGGGGTTGATCGGGACGGGGTTGATCAGGAAAGGGTTGATCGGGAAGGGGTTGATCGGGACGGGGTTGATCAGGAAGGGGTTGATTGGGACGGGGTTGATCAGGACGGGGTTGATCGGGACGGGGTTGATCAGGAAAGGGTTGATCGGGAAGGGGTTGATCGGGACGGGGTTGATCAGGAAGGGGTTGATCGGGACGGGGTTGATCGGGAAGGGGTTGATCGGGACGGGGTTGATCGGGACGGGGTTGATCGGGACGGTGGGGATCAGGACGGGGACAGGGGTGGTACATTTGTCTCGGGTCAGGGGGTCGCAGCTTTAACACAAACACACAACACAAGTAAGTAAGTAAATCTTTATTTCTAGAGCACCTTTCACAGATAAAAAATCACAAAGTGCTTTACAGAACAAAACAACATAAAAACAACATGCTCAAGAACAGAGGAATCACAGACACAGTCGACTGAAAGCCTAAAGTCTAAAGAGCAGAGTGTTGAGCTGCTTTTTAAAAGAGTCTGTAGAGTCGGCCTCAGGGGGG